GCTCTTACATGGCAGTACGTTGGGTTGCCTATACTGCACTGGCAGCAGGGGCTGCAGGCGCGGGGCGGGTGGCGGAGGAGTGGCAGCTCCCCCCACTCCTCCGCCACCCGCCCCGCGCCTGCTGCCCCTGCTGCCAGTGCATAGGCAACCCAACGTACTGGCATGTAAGAGCCGGGACACCCGGTACTACGCCGCGAGTTTCGCCCAGGCGCGCGCGTAGCAAAAATTCGAGAAATGCGACTAATTTTTAATTTTTATTTTTTTGCCCGGTTGGGGGGAGGAGGATAGAGTTGGGACGGTGGAAGGGAAGAGCATGCTCGGACAGCGCCGAGCTGCACGCTGGAGCGCGGAATATTCGGCGGGCGCTCGGTGCGCCGGTGCGGTCCATGCCGTTGCCGCCAACGGGATCCTCCTGGAGCCGGGCCCTGGAGCCGGGCTCTGGAGCCGGGCGGACTGGAGCACTGCGTCACGTGGTACGGCGTGGCGCGGGCGGGCCTGGTGGGGCCGGAGCCGCAAACGCAAACTCGGGCAGCGCAGCGAGGCGGGGAAATCATACCAGCGTGGCCCGCCGCGGAGAAGAAGACCTCCCGCCAAGCCCCGCCCCACCCCGCCCTACCCCTCCCGCCCCGCCCCGCCCTGCTCCAGGTCCAGGACCCTTGAGCGTGCGTGCGCTCTCCAGCTCGACTCCAGCGTGGACGCGCTGAGAAACGTCGTCACTGGAGAAAAAGAGTCACACCAGACGATCTAGACCTATTACGGCGAGCGCGCCGCAAATTATGGTGGGTTAGGAAAGGGTCTTCAGTACTGAAAAAAAAAACGCCCTCCATTTTCTCTGTAAAATATTATTGTTCTTTTTAAAAAGTCCCCAAGATCGTCTCTGTGCCCCCCCTCCCTCTTTATTTTCGCCAAATCGAATCACACCAGGAAATTAAAGTATCCGTGACGATTTCGTGATTAAACCGTTTTCGTTGGGCATAAGATCGTTGTTAAGGTATTGCCAACTTAATATCCCGGAAGGAAACGAAGCATAGGTAGAATTTCGACTGTGTAAGTGGGCCTGTATACGGGAACTTACATTTCCCTGGGCTCTATCGTGCCTGGGATCGTGCGGCATGCGGCATCCGAAACCGCAAACATTGGCCAGCCCGAGCCCCGCCTAGCGGCCCGCCGTAGGGCTGGCGGAGCAGGAGCGAGATGTGTCGACGCCACCGCGCCCAAGACGAAGACGGCGACCGCAAGCTCATAACCCGCACCGCATCGTGACAAGGGAGGGAGACAGAGGAAATTTTCGATCGGCAGAGATGTGATCGGGGAGATGGAAACGGTCAATCTTTTTTTGTTGGAATTGGTGCGGCCCGCCGAAAACAATTTAGCCATAATCTAACAAGAAAGGGGGGCTCTTTTGGCAGTTCGTGCGGCTACCAACGCCTAGGTCTGCGCCAGACGGACTGTCTCCATGCTCAATGGGACGCGGCGAGGAGAGGAGGAGGAGGGTGGGGGGGGGGGTATGTCTAGTTTGCTAAACGTGGGAAAGACACGGGGGCCTCGTCATTGTTCAATGGGGGACCGTTGCAAAGCAACACCGAATGCGCCGGACACACATGTCGTGTCGGACAGCTACTCTATTGAATAGCTAATCTAATCGGACACCTGGGCGAAAAAGAACAATAAGTAATCCGGCGCAAATTTTGACAACTCTCAGCTTTTATCTTTACTCTAGAGTAGGGTTACTTGACGACCACCTGTTGTACTGGACTTCGCCCTCTTGCAGACTGAGACGAGTGAACACGTCATTAGCTGTGATCCCCTCTGTCTTTTTGTCGAAAAAATGAAAATGGGAACTTTTTGTGTTTTCAGACGAGTCTGCCTCCCTGCCTTCTTACCCTGCCCCTGTTTTAAATAAACACCATACCATGAGTCTGGACGAGGTAAGTTCACTATTCTGTAAAGCGTAGTTGGTTCATAATGGGTATGAGGCATTTCCATCCGTACTTTGCATACTTTTCTGTGTTTTCTGGCTACACTGTTGCTATCAGTCCAGAAATAATTTATTCGGTGTCGGTGTTTTTCGTTACATAATGCCGTACGAGCGCGCACCGGCCAATCTTTGATTTAATTGGCTTTGAACCTCTTCACGGTCCCACACAAGAAAGAAAAACAATATTTATTTTGCTATCGTTGAATATTTACGAGAGAGGAGTTTCAGGAAAGGGAAGGGTCTGGAGGCTTCCTCGTAGGAATCATTATTACAAGAGAAAGAACAGCGCGCATGCATTCAGCCGTTCGGCTCCGTGCGCCGCTGAAAGGAAAGGCGCGGTGGGAATCATGTTTGCCTTCCGGGCGTTAATTGCCGAGTAACGCAAACCGTTTTGTTAAACTTCAACTTTTTTTTTTTATTTCGTCTTTTTGAGAGACGGGTGAAAGTGCTGGCCCGGGTCCCGGTGCGTAGCTACGGCCCATAAGTTTGGTAATTTTTCGAGAGAAAGAGCCGCAGGGTGTGAGAAAACGAAAGGCAGTAGACTTGGCCCCTCCACTTAGCACCTTCCACGTCCTTGTGCTTATATACATTGCTTTGTCTCGACGCAGAGGTTCAACGAGGCCGCGGACAAAGTCAAGTCCCTGACGCAGAGGCCCAGCAATGACGAGCTCCTGGAACTGTACGCTCTCTTCAAGCAGGGCTCCGTTGGCGACAACAACACAGGTGGGTGTGGGCAGGTCGTCACCGACTTCAGAGTGCGATTGGCAATGCCGTTTGTTCTGTACTACTTCTGTTGGGAAAACTATAAGAATGCGCCTTTAATTAGTTTGACCGTTATCGTTCATTTTTTAGACAAGCCCGGCATGCTGGACCTGAAGGGCAAGGCCAAGTGGGAGGCGTGGAACGGCAAGAAGGGCATGGCCCAGGACGCGGCCAAGGAGGCGTACATCGCCAAGGTGGCCGAGCTCGTCGCCAAGTACCCGCACTCGTAGCGCGCCAAGGCTCGCGCCGTCACGCTCATCATCCCGACCATTGAATACACCTCGCTGCACAGCAGTCTGCACAGCAGCAGCGCCTCGCGGAATGCCGGAGCAGCGATGACTTAGCCGTCCTGGCTATATAGCACGCGTTGGAGGCGGCAGAGCGTCGAAAAAGATTACGACTTTAATTATTATCAACTACCCTTAAGACATTAATTTTTAATAATTTTCATTATGAAAATAAATAGTACAACGATTTTATAAGGCTTCTTTTTTGTTAGAGACCTACTCTATAAAATCGTATGTTGCTTTCAATTCCAATGCACGCGGCATGGCATGCGAGCAAACTATGATTAACGCTCTCTTTTTTTTTTAATGATTATTCTTTCTTCCATCGTATATGGGCGTCGGATCGAGGTCGACACGGCGTGCACCTGCTGATGGACAGACTGTCGAGTGTGACTAATTGGGCGAAGGGCTCGGGCCAGCTCTAGTCCGAGCGGGTAGAGTGCGTCACGGTGTAGAGGCGCGCTGCGGCCGCGGCTCCGCCAGCCAGAGCTCAGCCCGCCGCCTGTGGGTAGGCAGCCCAACCGGCGGGAGCGCGGGCGCATAGCGCCCCGATGCAGGCAACCCATCGCGCACCTCTGCCTTTCGCCGAGCTGAAGTGCAGCACAGCAGCAGCGCTCACTTCTCTAAGAAATCGCTCCAAGGCAGCGCGAGTGAGGCGTTTATTCAAATAGGTCCAACATGTGAAGGTATTAAAGACGTGTCGAAAAAGGGTCTATCAAAATTTACCTCCGGAAAAATCACTTTTAGAAAGCCCCTGTCGCACCTAGATAGGGCATCATCCAGACCAGAAAGTAGGTCCGTCATTCGCCGTATTTCGAACCTGCCAAATTTCGCCCGGACAAGCTCTCAAAGCGCCTGGTAGGTAGACAATTTCTTGCCTGCAGTGCATGTGTGTAGTGCGGGGTGGCCTATGTCGAGTCTCGCAGGCGCCAAGCTTCCGTCATTTGCCGAATGATTAGGAAAACAGGCGTACATTCTAGACTAGCTGTCTGACAGGAAATCAATGTGAGTTACGAGACCCTGTGTATTGTGTATAGCTACTTGCTTCGCTCCCCCTCCCACCCTTACCCTTGCTACGCGCCTGCAGAAGAGTCGCTTCATAGAACGTCGCCACGTGACATTGTAAAGGGGCATCGTATTGTCCTTAGTCCACAGAATAAGGCTCCTGACCGAAACAATAGATGTGTTTCTGGAAATATCTCTTTGTGATTGTGTTGGGCTAGAGGTACCCCAACTACACGGTAAAAACGACGTCTTTGGTTTCCAAGTAAGCTGCCAAGCATGAAAGAAGTACATGGCAACGGTTTGTTGTTTTATATCACTTCTTGAAAACCATACATTGTTTTTTATCGTGTATGGGGGAAGTGTGATATTGTACAATTTAAAGTCATCGCGTAGGTGTTGCAAAATGAAACTGCACATTTCACATAATTTATTTTTTATCACTATGGATTACAAAGGAAAGTTCGCATCATACAATGATATTACCGACGAAGCCAAGTCTATTAGAACGATGTTGCACTCACGCCTCAAAGGGTGCAAGGTGACGGTTGATCAACCAATGCAATTCACATTATTTTCTTCACTACCACGCCACGGCACCTGGCACCCACGAAAAGTCATATTAACCAAAAACTCATGCACGCACTAGAGCTGAAATGTCGACATAGGACCAGCACTACTAACAATGTATCTTTTCTCTCTACGCGCGGCGGTGCAAAGTGTCAGTTCGGCCAGCGAGACTGACCTCTGCATCCTTATTACTAACAGGTATAGGGATAGGGGACTAGGAGAAGGAGGAAGGGAAGGCAGGGGGATTTGGAATTAGGAAAGGAAGTGGAAGGGTTGCTCTCTAAAGCAGCTGACCAGCAGCATGAAAAACAAATCCATACACACACGCGCGAGCGAAGGCAATGTTGAGTCAAAGACACCCACCGACACTCGTAACCGCAAATATTTACAAAAGCAACACACACTCATTCACACGATTTGAACATTCTCCTCTAGATCATATTAATCTGCTACGAAGAAAAAGAGGAAGACAGTGGAAGGCCTGATGTTCAATAATCGTTGACTATGAGGCAGAGTACATTACAGAGATTTTGAGGCAAGGCAGTTAGTAGTACAAAGAATTGGCTGGAAAGATGAAAACAACAATAGAAACGTTATTCCAAGTAGAAAAATACAGTTGACTATGATAGACTCCAGGGAGGATATGCCGTAACGCGAATCAGGCTTTGGCGGGGGAGACAGCATCCCCGTCCAGGGGCCGATAGCGCCAGCGGTGGTCCATTCCTTGGCGTCGGAAACAGGGACGCCGAGGTCTGGACCACCCACACGCTCCGCCGCTCCACCCCGTCAGAAAGAAAACAGACGCAAAGCTGACGGACCTATAGTGTATGTACAAAAGAGTGTGACGACGTCAGTTGTTTTCACAATTACTACGACAAATTCTACAGAATAGGCCAATGAAACCAAGGGCGGTGTACCGAGACACCGGCCGCCCTGAAACGCCCGCGAGCGGACGACGCAGTCTGAAAAGAACTAAGACATTATAT